AATCATTTCTTGAAGATGAGACATTTTCTAGATGTTCCACTAGAGGGTGCTTCAGGTATACATATTTACATATGCATGCACATACCTGCATGTAGTATGTTGGCAGGAACACATTAAATATCAATTCATTTTTAAGCAATGTAGGATATGAACATAATAATTGTGTTATGACTCCTCTTTGTCCCTATCCTCACCTCTCCTCTGACATGGACAAATGGCTATATCAAAGAAGCCTAGAGGCTCTGGTATAGAGCTCTGGGTGAACAAGGCAGCAAGCAATGGAAAGCTGATTGGGGTTGAAAGTAAGCTCCCATCTGCCTTGCTCCCTCTCCTACAAAATGGCTGTGTGAAAGAAGTGGGATTTCATTCATTCTTTCCAATGGTGACCAAGGAGCTGGTGAACTCTGTGATGGGAGAGAAGGCCTGGGGTCATTAGGAGCTTAGTAGGACAATGGGGGAGGTAAGCATCTTTGGGATCGAAGACTGGGAGTGGGAAGGTAGGGAAATGAGGAAAATTGGGCAACTGGAAGCCTTGAAATGGAGAATGAGAACTTGAGTGATGGATGTGGAAGGGTAGAGTGTTGACTGAATAAATCAATCAAGTCATCCTTCCCTACTTTGCCCTGGTGCTTTAAATAGATGAGAAGGAGTCTCAACCAATTAGTCAATCAGAGACTTTAGACTAAGTGTGAAAAATCCTTAGATGAACTAAAATCTAGATTGACAACAGGTAGAGTGCTTGGATTAGCTGAGGAAACAGTCGCACTCTGTGGATCTTCCATAAAATAGTAGACCAGCACTAACCTTGGATCTAAAGATTAAGAGTGGAGAGAGAGCTCAGGAGTTTGGCAGCCGAGAAGGTGTGAGGACAACCAAAGCTGAGCCAGAAATAAGCAGCAGCTTCGGGGCAACCCAGCAAAAGAAGAAAAAGAAAGTAAGACTGAGCTGGGGCACAGAAGAGCAATATTGTGGAGTGCCACTAGCCCTACAGACATTGCAGCTCTTGAGATTCAGGCTGATACTAACACACAAGGACTTTAGGAAGCTCAGAGAAGGGATCTGTTCTTTCCCAGACAGTACCTGTCTATTAACAGACATGGGAATATATTATGCTCTTTTTCACCCAGACTGAATTTGTCCTCAACCATAAATACTATTATAGTATTAGTACTTGAGTATAATTATACTCTATAAAAATACACACCAATAATATAATGGAACAAAATTATGATAACTATATAACAGTGTAACAAAATACATACACCAAGGAAAAATGTAAATACAAATTGAGTCAGGCTCAAACCTCTGCCTAAATGTTAGGAATTTTCCTAACTGGGGGCTCAGAGCAATTGCGGCTGCACTCTTAACTTTATAAATTCCCTACAGCAGCAGAAAGGGGACCTTCATGGAACTGACAAGCCATTTTATTTTTCTCAGGCTTTAAAAAACCTAATTATTTTAATAAGATGTTACAGAAAGAGCATTTTCTTGTTAAATTTTGATTTTTAAAAAAAGATAGACCCATAATTTAATTTGAGTCAGAAACACATAATGAGGAAAATCTCTATTCCAGTGCTGAGGTATTAACTCCTCTACAAGTTTTCATCTTAGAGAATTGACTGAGCCACTTAGAAGTTAAGTTACTTGCCCAAGGTCACATAGTTAGTGTGAGAAGTGGAACTTGAATGAATGAATGAGTAAACACTATGTTATGACCTGGGGATACAAGTAGAGTAAAGTGAGATAGTCTCTGCCCTCAGGAACTCACATTCTATTTAGGGGAAATAATACATAAAAGAAAGTTCAACTTCATGGCAGATAGAAATTCTCAGCAATTTTAAAATTCAAAGATGTGAGCTCATTTTTTCCTCATTTTCTGGCTTTGTAGCCATTCTTTAGCCACACTATCTCTCCAGTTATAATTCTCCCTCCACACTACTCAGATGCTTTCTCATGAAGTGAAGGTGACTCTGGATTCTTGAAGGCTCTGTCAGTAAGGGCTAACTCTGACAGATCCCACCAAGCCGGAATGGTTTTGAACAGGGGTGCGGAACCTTCGGTCTCAAGGCCACATGTGGCCTTCTAGGTCCTCAGGTGTGGCCTTTTGACTGAGTCCCAAGTTTTACAGAACATATCCTTTATTAAGGGATTTGTTCTGTGAAGTTTGGATTCAGTCAAAGGGCCGCACTTGGGGACCTAGAGGGCCACAGGTGGCCTGGAGGTCCAAGGTTCTCCATGCCTGATTTTGAATACCATCCAGTGATGCACTATATGTTGGTCATTTGAAAGACAACCTAAGGAAGTTTGGAGACATGGAATTCCGGGTTGAATATCAAGTGATAAATCTGTTTCCTAAAGCATGGAGGGATTGCAATATGCATGGGGGAGGTCATGCACACTGAGGAAAGCCTCATCTTTGACATATTAATGTTAGCATGATTTATATACCCCCATCTGCTTTTAGAGACAGTTGGGGTGGCCAATGGGCATTTGAAAAGGACAGGCATTACTGAAGCAACATGAGAAGATGGCTTTGATCACGTTACTCAGAATAGGCTGATGGGAGAACCCAAGGTGGGAATGTTGGCAAGGAGAAAACAATAATAACCCAAAAAGAAGATGACGGGCCCCAGAATCTGCATTAGCTGTCCCCATAAATACTAAGAAGATATTGCATAGGGGGGAAAGCAATGACATGTAATAATAGGTTGAAGAAATAGGCATAGAAAAAAACGAGAGAAAATGAGTATTTCTTGCTCGGGAGTTGGCAAACTAAAAGTTAGCTTCCCTTGGAAATACGTGGAAACCAGGAAGAGCTCAGTCCCATCACTCTCCTGCTCAATGACCTTCCCTGACATCCTGGGACCCACCAATTAAGGCCAGATTCTTCTTCGTGATACTCCCTATGTGATCCCAATCTGCTTTTGTAGGTTTATCTCTCACTCTTCTCATAGGGAATGAGCTGCTGATTATTTTTACTAACACTGTGACATTTCCAGCCTCTGTACCATTCCTCATGCTATTATCTCCAGGTGGAATGTTCTTTCCCAGTTCCCATCACCTCCTACTCATTTATCAAAGCCCAAATCACATGACACTTCCATCACAAAGACATTCATGATCTCTCCAACATCCCCCCCCCCAAACACCTGCGTGTGACCATGTCCTTGTAGATCTTCCTTTGCCTTTCTTTGATGGTATTTTTCACATTCTATTTAGGGCTAGTGTAGGGAGAAGTTGTTGCCTTGACCTAACTGACTCCATTTTGTATTTAGGCCTCCATTTTGTGATGAAGTGTTTTGATGTTTGTTTTTCATAACTTGTTTTTCAATATTAGGATAAGCATATTTGTGGTATAGGTTGGTAAGTAAGATAGGTGTATTCATAAACAACATGAGACCCCCAGATAAGACAGGCCACCAATGGCAAGATTTGGTAAATAACCTTGTCATTGGTTTATGTCTTCAAGCACCAATTAAATTACTTGGTAAACCAAGTCACTGACCACCAGGCAGAACCTCAGTATAACCAGCTAACACTCACAGCTAGAACTATGAGAAACCTATCAGAGATTCCCCAGCCTTCATGACCTGGGCTCATGACTGACTCTGGCTCCTGTGCTCTCATCCCTGAAGTTCAAGCAACTTTCATGCTCACTGAGAGCTGATTTAGTGGCTGAGATCTGCTGACTTGCTGGGCAGACATCTTGGAGAGAGATACGTGGCCACTGGCTGGGTAGAGAAGAGACCTTGTCATGAAGTGCCAGTATGAGATGTGCTTACTGGGGAGCTCTAGGAAGTCAGGCTGGGAGTTTGTTTCTAGACATGGAGAATGCTTTTATTTTCCGATAGATAATATAAACTAGTGTTTGCATGCATTTGATTAATAGAGTTTGATGGCTTAAGTTTAATTCAGGAGAGGGGAACCTCCAGCCTCAAGGTCACATGTGGACTTCTAGGTCCTTAGTGCAGCCTTTTGACTGAGTCCAAGTTTTACAGAACAAATCCTTTTATTAAGGGGACTTGTTCTGCGAAATTTGGATTCAGTCAAAGGGCTGCATTTGAAGACCTAGAAGGCCATATGTGGCCTTGAGGCCACAGGTCCCCCCCCCCCCACCATGGTCTAATTAGTGTTTCTTTTGTATTAGTTAGTATAAGTAATGGGAAATCCATTTTGCACACACATAGTACATTACAGCTAGTAACTCATTGTGTTTTTGGAGCATGGGGTGGTTCTAGTGCAGAGAGAGCTGAACTTGGAGTCAGGAAGACCTGAATTCAAGTCCTGCCTCTGATCATACAGACTGTGTGACCCTGGACAAGTCACTTACCCTCGTAGTGCCCCAGGTGACTCACAGAGCATACCTTGCCATGCAGATGTCTTTAAACATTGATTTAAAAAAAAGGTTTCCCCAATGTGCATTTTCTACACCAATGAAATCACATCTGGTTTAAAAAAAATCTCATAGCACAAGATTGTAAGCTCCTTGAGGGCATGGATTACTTCCATTTTGCCTTCAAATATCCAGCCTCCATTACAATATCTTGCCCATAGGAAGCACTGAATGTTTGTTGGATTCCATCAGTGTGTATGTCCTCTTCCTGGCCCCAGACTTGTACCATCATTGTAGTTACCATTTATTAGGACTCCTGTATGTTGGGTACACCCTCTCCCCCCTTCTCTCCTGTGTTATATTTATCAGAAGTCACAGATGACAGTCATCCAGGTTAGGCAGGGATGGGTGAATGACAGTCTGGAGGCAGTACCCACATCAGTGAGATCCTGTATCTAGTGGGATCTATTTGACTGTTTAACATCTATCAGCTTGGAGTCAGGGAACCTGGGTTTGAATACCGCCTCAGACACTTACTATGTGACCAAGGACAAATCACAATGCACCATGCCTCAGTTTCCTCATCTGTAAGAAAATGGGAATTGGATTGGGTGACCTCTAAGCTTTCTTCCGGTTCTAACACACTATAATTCCATTTTCAAAACAGAAACCTGAATGGACCATTTTCTACCACAAGGACTCCTGGAATGGATGCTGTGCCTCTCATTCCTGGAGCTCCAAGGATAGTTTCCTCACCTACAAAATGAGAGTGCTGAACTAAAATGATCTCCAAGGTCCCTTAGAGCTTTAACAGTCGACGGATATTGCTTTATAATCAAAATCAGCTCAGAATGGGCCTACATCATTTTGAAAGCTTGAAAATCTCATCTAAATGTCAGTCTGGCATGTGAGATAGAGGGCTGGCTGGGGAGTCTGAAAGTCCTTGCCTCAGGGATGTGAAGGTAAATGTTTAACAACAGGCTCTCTAAGGGAAAAAATGTATGCACTTGTAAGTTTTGTCTGCCTGGTTAACGTTTTCTCCATCACTTTCCTAAGTCTAGACAATCAACCAAATAACACAGGAAGTCTTAATTTTTAGTGCTTGTCAATTTCCCAGGTAGAAAAGTTTGTATTTGGACTTTAACAATCCACTTTCAAGCAGGGATGACTAGCCCCAGCACATGATTGAGACTGTCCTAGGTTCAAGTACTGCTTGTGACACATGTTGGCTGGGTCAAGACAATTAAAACCTCAGGGCTTCCAAATAAGTCTCAGAGACTTTAAGTTGCAGTGCGGATGCATATCTATCTGTATGCACATATGGGTGCACGTGTATGTATATATGTATGTCGTGTGCAAATGTATGTAATTATTACACAGGCTTCCACATGTGCCTCTCCACTCAGTGGCTAATGCTAATTCCCTCTTGAAATTACTTTTTATATACTTCCTGTTGACTTATCTGTGAACATGCAGTAGAACTCAATCTCCTTGAGGGCAGGAACTGTTTTGTTTTGGCCCTTGTAGCCCCAGTGATTGGGGCAGCCAGGTGGCACCATTCTGTATAGAGCTCTGGGCCTGGAGCCAGGACGACTTGAGTTCCAATTCAGCCTCTGATGCTTACCAGCTGTATGACCCTGGGTAAGTCACTTAGCCCTGTGTGCCTCAGTTTCTTCATCTGTAAAATGAGCTGGAGAAGGAAATGGCCACGCTCTCCAGTATCTCTGCCAAATGGGGTCAGGAAGAGTTGGACACGACTGAAATGGCTGAGCAACAGCAAAGTCCCAATGACTGGCCTTTTGTAAGCGCTTAACAATTGTTTCTTGAACAGAGTTGATTTTCTCCAAGAACTGGGTGAAGAAGACAGGGAAGCAGAGATTATTACCCCTATTGTAAGAGATGAGGAAACTTATCTTCCTAGTAGCTCAAGTGACTTGTCCAAGATGATGCAGCATTTGACCTGTCCTTTTTCCATTACAAGGTCTTTTCAAAATTGGTCACTTCTGCCCCCTGCTGGTAAGATCAGTAAGTACAGTTGTGGGAAAAGCTGCCAGTACCCATCCCCCAAAGCCCCAACAAATGCGTGAACCGTCAATACAGAAATATTGTTCATCTTTGGAAGAGAGCATTTGCTCCTTGGGATTTCCTCATTAGTGAAACAGAAGGCCATAACATGCTCATTTCCACACTGTTAGGCAAAACCAGGCGCTTTTTGACAGTAAAAATGAAACTTCTCTTCACCCTCCTGCTTCTCACCCCCAGTGCTATGGATTTTGTGAATACAGACCTTAGTCCAGGAGGCTCATCATAATTGGCACACCAGATGGGTCTGCGCCAGTGTGGTAGAGTCAACAACAGGCCAATGAAAAGGAAATTCCAATTCTTAGAGGGTCCTAGCTCCCCCCACTCTCCTCTCTTTTGCTTTATACTTGGGTAATATTCTCTAGGAGTTCTATGATAATCCCAAATTAAACAAAACAAGTGGCCCTGAATGGCCTGATCTGACTTGGCAGAGCACAAAAGCCAGCCACAAGACCAGAGATCCTAGGAGGTGTTCAGCATATACTAGCATTCCTCTTGGCCATCCCGAGAGGGCCCTTGCATCTGGATGGCCCCTTGGCTGTTTCTCCATTAATTCTCAGTGGTTGTTCCTTATAGGACTGTCACCCTTGTCTAGGCTGATAGAGACATGAGTTGCCCAAACTGGCTGATGAAACCATGAGGAAGTCATGAAGCCAAGCACTGGGAATAGTAATGGGTGAGTTGGTAACTCATGGGCCCTCAGAACAGATGCAGTTTTCTTAGCCAATGTGGCCTTTTCACTTTTGCACCGATATTGGAAGCAGGCCAAAGGTAAATGGAATCTTTTGCCACTTTACAAAGAAACTCATGAGTAAAACTCCCCTCACAGCCTGCAAGCAACAGCTGTGTCCACAGACCATTCTGGCTGCTGTTTCTTCACTGGAATATATTCAGGACTGAGTGGAGGAAAGGTCCTGCACTGAATCAATCCCCCTTGCAATCTCCTCAGCTAAGTGGCTATTTGCCAGGACAGCGATTTTAAAAGATGCAACTATAATGTTGATAACAAATTCCTACCCACCTACCTGCTAGCCCCAGCATGTAAGTGCTATAATGAAAATGTTGGCCATGCGCAGAAAAGATAAGTGGAAGGAAGGACTCTTTCCAAGTTTGTTAAAATGGAATTGCAGGATTCAAGCTAAATAGATAATATTCTACCTTTTGCCTGAGCTGTATGTAACTAGGGTGAGGTAACTGGCACTCTGTTTCAGAGTGCTGAAATTTAAAGGGTTTACAGAGCTCATGATTCTTCAGCAGCGTAGTTATCACAGATAATTAGTTCAAATAACTGGCTACCAGATGAGCTTTCCTTGACCTGTTTGTCTACACTGCCTCCTCTAATCTGATGACCTCCCCCAGCAGCATTTCAGAGAAGGTTTCATGCCCTTTGCCCCAGGGCACACAAGTTGCTAGTTATAGCTCTGGTTTCTCTTTGGAAGGGTGGGAGAAGCAAGTATTTTGACTGAAGAACTAGCTAGTTAGCTTTAATTGTGTCCATGGCATTGATCTCAACACTAGTCAGACAGTCTTTAGCAGAAGTATCAAAGCATATCTGATCTCAGCTGGGGTTTAATGACAAAAGGCATCATCTCAATTCATGGAGCAATTATTTATCTGGTGACCTTTTCCAGGGTAGAGACTGTTCCATTAAAATTTTTTACTGTGACTGATGTTTCCAATAAACTTAGACTCTCTCCCTTCTTCACCCCCACCCCTATAAATTGTTGATCTTTGAATGTCATGAAACTCTAAGCTGTGAAATTGAAACTGGGGTGGGAGCCTCATAAATGGGGCCAAAGATGAGACATGTCACTCTCATATAATTGTACATTATTAGGACACAAATGATAGGAGACATGCCTGTAGTGGTGGCTTGATGGAATGGTGGGTGTTCAGAATATATGTATAATGGAGGCCAGAGCATTTGTTTGGAAGGGTAGATGTTGAGCTGATGTGTTTTTTGTTTGTTTTTAACAATCCGGTCGAGGTAATTATGGATCATGCATGAAATCTCTTCATATTAACTTTGTCAATCTCTTTGTATTAACTTCTCTGATCTCTTTTTTCAATCAGCCATGATTCTGCTTCTTTATAATCTTCCCAACTATGGAGGAGGACTGACAGTTCCTAAATCAGCAGGGCATAGCAGCCAGACTCCTAAAGGTCCTTTCACTGTGGGGATCCAGGCATTTCCACTATCATTAAGTACAATGGAGAAAGTCTATCACTATACAACACACTATAAAAACCAACATTCTTTTTTAAAAATTAACTAATTAAATTGTAATTTTCAACATTCACTTCCATGAGATTTTGAGTTTTAAATTTTCTCCTCCTTTCTCTCCTCCCCCCTCCCCAATACAACATGCAATCTGATATAGGCTGTCCTTACACATTCATATTAGGCATATTTCACATTAGTCATATTCACATTAGAAGAATTAGAACTAATGGAAGGAACCACAAAAAAGAAGAAGCAAAACAAAACAATAAAAGAAAAGGAGAGCAAAAAGTATGCTTCCTTCTGCATTCAGACTTCATAGTTCTTTCTCTGGATGTGGATAGCATTTTCCATTGTGAGTCTTTTGGAATTGTCTTAAATCCTTGCATTGCTGAGAAAGGCTGTCTATCAAAGTCAGTCATCTCACAGTGTGGCTGTTACTGTGTACAATGTTCTCCTGGTTCTGCTCACTTCATCAGCATTAGTTCATAGAAGTCTTTCCAGGTTTTTCTGAAGTCCTCCTGCTCATCATTGCTTATAGCACAACAATATTCCATTACATTCATATACCACAACTTGTTCAGCCGTTCTTCAATTGATGGGCATCCCCTCAATTTCTAATTCTTTGCCACCACAAAAAGAGCTGCTATAAATATTTTTGTACATGTGGATGCTTTAAGACTAACATTTTTAACCAACATTCTTTAGAAATGAGAGAAATGGGAAGATATCATTGGCTTACTTCAGGAACACACCAGTGGTCAACAATGAGATTACAATTATAATTCAGAGGACCTGAGTTTCTAGGAGCTAAGCCTTTGTTCAAAGCACTATGCCACACTTTCTGTATTAATAAAAACAAAGAGCTTTAACCAACTGACCGATGTAAAGGCTGTGCTTAACCTGTGGCCAACATGTTTTGAAAAGGAATTAGAAGCAGTCAGAGATGGTGCTATGAAAAGTGATGAACTTTGAGTCACAAGACCTGAGATCAAACTCAAGCTCTGCTAGTTATTGGTTGTATGAACTTGTGCAAATTACCTCATCTCTCTGGGCCTCAGTTTCCTCATGTGCAAAATGATGGAGCTGACATCTAAGATCCCTTCCATTTCTAAATCTACATTCCCAAAGCAATCTCTTTCATTTCCTTAGTTCACATCAGAGTTGTGGTTTGGGGTCCCAAGAGGGGTGACTGACTGCTACTCTTTCTCGGGGTTGTAAGGAGAAGGCTGAGGAGTTGTAATTCTAGCACTGTTGCTTCTGAGCCCCCACCAGTGTGATCCCCATTAACAGCCAGTCAATCAACTTCCATTAGCTTTAAGAAAAGATGTTTGCTGAGGCGCAGCAAAAAGTGTTGGCTCAAAACGTCACTCCCCCAAATTGGGTGCACACCCTCCCTTTGCACACACAAGGTCCCTTGGGAGAGCTAGTGCGAACTATAAAGGCGGTGAGGCATATGGGGCAGATGAGTATCTCTTAATTCCGGGACTAGGAGTCCTGTTCTTTCTTTGTAGAGTCCTCACTGAATTCACCTAAGTAGTGGTTCCATGATGTGTGAACGTCCCAGCTGGACTCCAAATCTCTACATCCCCGTTTAATTCTTAGGCACCATTTTTTGAGAGGACCCATTCCCTAACCTCACTTTTCCTCCTTCCCCTTGTAGTTGTTTCCACCTCTGTTGGCCACTGCTGTTCCACTGTTCATTGCTATTATCATTCAGGTCTGGTGGAGCCTCTAGATTTACCACACTCATGAGGTCATCTAGACACTTCCATCTTGGAATGTTCACTCACCTTGGATCATGAAAAAACAAACGCCAAGAGGTAGAGGTGATCAAGTTTTCCTGGCTTATAAGCAACCCTTTAGATAGCTCAGTTTCCTTCATACTTCTAAGCTACAAGAAAGAGGGTGGAGGTAGGTTTCCACTTTTCTACGTGGCTTCTGCAACCAATTTGGGATTCTCCCTCCTACTAAAAACACAGTACAAACCCCTGAATCATTGCAGTCACTTGTACTGCACTTACATAGGGAACATTGGTGCATGTTTCCAGGGGAGTCCCCCATAAGCTATGATTCTTATAAGCGTGGAAGAGAGGCAATGCAGAAATTTGGATTGGAGGCCAGCCTTGGAGGATTTAGGGGTCCTGCCTCTGGCACATACCAATTGTGTGGTCATTGACAAATCACTTAATTCCTCAGGCTCTGATACTAAAGGATACAGATAAGTTTCCAGTCATCATTGGTGGATGGTGTTTCCACACTGGGAGTTCTCCACACTGATGAAATATGGAGAGGGTATGTGGAAGATCTAGCTGAGAACAAAAGAAATTGACCTTCCTTGGAGGGTATTTCACCAAAACCATTGTATTTAGGACAGAGCCTTACAAGCTATGTTTTTTGAGTGACTAATTAATGATTGAATGCTGTAGTAAGAGCAACTTTCTTGCCAAAATAATGCTCTATGGCAAAATAAGAGCTGCAGTCTGGGCTGCTCCCTAGGAGACGGCATAGTGGAGCAGATACTGGGTTGGCCTTTAAGTCAAGGAGACATTGGTTTGAATCTTGCCTCATCAGTAAAGGAAGGATGGGGATTTGGGTCTGTAGAGACAATGTCAAGACCCTATCTCTGTGGGATGCTATTGACGTTGTTATGACACCTTGGATTTACTTTGTCTATGTTTTAATTTGCCTGTCTATATCCATGTTGTATTCGCTACTACTCTTCCCCTTCCATTGCCTCACACCTAGTAGAATGCAACCTTCTAGAGGGCAAGGGATGGTTCTTTTATGCCTTTGTATCTCTAGCCCCACGCAGTGTCTGAGAAATAGTAGGTTCCTAATAATATTGAATGAATTCAATTATACATTGTGTTATATGGACCAGGGGTTGGGGAATAGGGGGGTAAAGAGGCAAGGACTCACAAAAATCTGAGCCCAAATATTAAGGTGGGTTGGAAAATAGGACTGAGGCCTAAGATCCTTTGTCTAAAGAAATTTGGGGAGAACTTGGGCTCCAAAGATCTCTTCCATTCTCTGACATCCCATTTTTTAGCCCAGAGCATGCCATTTAAATCTCTCTCTGCCTCCCATTTCCTTCAAGGGGAAAAAAAAACGAAGCTTCCCTAGAGTGTTGGGAGCTAAATTTGTTAATGTTGTTAAAGTGCTTAGAAATTGGAAAGGGCTGGGGAAGTGCTCGGTATGGTTATTAATAATCGTGCTAATGATAGATGGCTCATTGGGGGCCCTTCTCAGCAAAATGGAAAATCAGTTCAGTTGAATGGGATCCCTGCCCCCATCAGGGGCTGGCAGGGAAATCACCTGGGGGGGGGAAATCATGAATATTCTCTCATGTATGGATCCACTTTCCAGCGTAGGAATTATGTTATATTATATATTATAATATTTATTATAAGCCATTCCAGGGAGAATAGATACACATTTAACACCTGGCAGCATTTGGGCATTACCAGATGTACGCTGAACATTTTGTAGCTGTATTATTTATATTACACACAACCCCAAAAAACCTATATATTTTTAATTAGATCCATAAGACAGACCAAGGGGACTGTTGCTAGAAACGATATTTGACTGAATGGGACGGGAAGAGATTCTAAAGGGATTATGTCAACTTTATTCAACTTTTAACTTCTGGCAGAAATTACCTTGTATTTACTTTGAATGTACGTTGTATATACTTACATGTGTGATTGTTGCCTTCCCCAATAGAACCTAAGCTTCTCAAGGGAAGGGATTGTCCTATTTTTTGTCATTGTATCTTCAGTACCTAAGGCAGTGCACATAGTAGGTGCTTAAAACCTAGGCATCATCCTCAACTCCTCACTTTCTCTTATTCCCCTCCCCCCATATCCAATCTGTTGTCATGTTGATTTTACCTTTATAATATCTCTTATATCCATCCCTTCTCCCTCCAACATCTGATACCCAGGAAAAGACCGTGATCACTTCACACCTGGACTATTGCAATAGCCTGCTGGTTGGCCTTCCCACTATGAGTCTCTCTCACTCCAGCCCGTCTTCCACTTAGCTAGCTAATGGATCTTCCCATTTCACCCCTCTATTCCATGAACTCCAGTAGTGCCCTCCAGGATTTGCCTTTCATAACCTGGCCCCTTCTACTTTCCCAGTCTTACACCTTACTCCTTAGCATGTACTTTTCCATTTAATGGCACCGGTCTCTTTGCCGTTCCTCGAACAAGGCCCTATGTAGCAATCACCGAACCAGAGAATTTCAGAGCTGGGGCAGCTGGTCTGCCTCGCTGGTCATTAGAGAGCTGGGTCCACACTGCCCCAAGGAAGCCCTGCTCATGACCAACACTTCACTGGAGCCATTTTCACTGTGTTCCTCATCCCTAGAATATTCTCCCACCTCTTCTCTTCCTCCTGACTTCCTGGCCTCCTTCGAGTTCCAGCTAAAATCCCACCTTCTACAGGAAGCCTTTCCCAATTTCTCTTAATTCTAGTGCCTTCTCTGTATTGATTAGCTCCTGTTTATCCTGCCTATAGCTTGTTCGTATGTAGTTGCTTACATGTTTTCTCCCCCCTTAGATCATACACTTTTCAAGGGCAGGTCTGTCTTTTGTTTTTCTTTGTATCCTCACGACTTAGCCCAGTGCCTGACACCTAGTAGGTGCTTAATAAATGTTTACTGACCGAGTCCCTTTTATGCCCTTCTTTGCTTTATGCTTAGCAGCGCATGTTACATCCCTCCTCCCAGAATCACGTAAGCTGCCTTGAGGACAGGGACTTTCTCATTTGTACTTTGGATACCCAGTGTCTAAATGTTTGCAAACTAACAGATTACAAATGGCTCTTGATACCTAACCTCGATCCACTCAGGAGCTGGTACTACTTAGGCACTGGATTTAGTCAATCTCTGTTCTGGGATTGAGGACAATGGGACATTTCTGAAAAGACTAACTTTTCATATTTAGAATGAAAGAGAGATGTGACAGGGGCCACTAAGTGGCACAGGAGTTAGAATGCCAGGCCTGGAGTCAGGAATACCTGAGTTCAAATCATGGCACTAGTTTTGCAACCCTGGGCGAGTAAGTCACTAGCCCTGTGTGCCTCAGTTTCCTTATCTGTAAAATGAGCTGGAGAAGGAAATGGCAAAGCACTCCAGTATCTTAGCTAAGAAAACCCCAAATGGGGTCATGAAGAGTCAGACCCAACTGAAAAATGACTGAACAACAAAAGAAGATGTGACAAAGCAACATTACACAGCATAGATATCCTAGAGCCAAGTTGTTTTTAATTTTAAAGGAAACATCTATGTGATAAAACCATTTCTAAAAGTATGAACATAGGGGTTCCTAATGGCATTATTTATATTCTAATCACTTTGAACGGAAGGCCTCCCGATGCATGATCCCTCATTTATAAATGTTTTACTTGCTGATTCCCTGAGAATAGGAAGTACAAGACAGCTTCTTCTAGAGGGTGCTATTAAAACCATTTCTTCAAGGTTCTTTAAAATAAATGGACGTGTTGGCTCCTAATGAATCACTTGGGGAGGGAGAGAAGTATACACATGTCGTGTAGAATGGGGTAGAAGCTGAAACTCCAATTCCATGGCCTGCTTCCATGATCTCCCTGCTCTCATTAGCATATTTCCTTCCTGTCATTTTCTATTTGTTTTAGACAGAGAATTGGCAGAATTCTGAAAATGAAGACTCTTTTTCCAAAGTGAATTGCCGGCCATCAGCAGAGCTTCCTTGGGGCAGTGCAGACCCGGCTCTCTACTGACCAGCAAGGCAGACCAGCCGACCAAGCTCTGAAATTCTCTGGTTCAGTGATTGCTGAGTATATGAGCTACACCTGGGATGTGGTGAGGCCTGGTATTTGTTCGTTACCACCTTGCGATCCTCCAGAGAGATGAATGGACTGCCTTTGAGGCTTTCCAGGTTGACTCCTTGGTACCCTGCTTCATGAACTCTGTTCCAATCAAACTCACCTACCAGCTATTGCTAAATAAACATTGCATCTCACCTACATGCCTTTGCATGGCTGGCCCCCATACCTGACATACCCTCCACTGCCCAGTCATCTTTTAAGACCTACAGTTTCCTTCCCCACACAGCTCAGACACTGCCTCTTCCATGAGGCTGTTTTTCATCCTCCCAGGTGCCACTGTGCTCTCCCTCTTGAAATGATTTGTGTGCATATATGCATGCACACCCTGGGCTTCAAGCCTAAACGTTTGCATAAGACTCTCCTCATTGGTGGAGATCTTCCCTTTTAACAGATAAGGAAACTGAGGCCCCGAAAAAGCAAGCAGAATCAAAAGACTATAGAGCTAGAACACAGAACAGGGAATCCCAGAGCTAGAAGAGATCATAGAAAGCACTGAATCCAATTGATCACTTCGTAGAGGGAGTAAGGAAGGGTCTAGAGAAAGTGAATGATTCCCAGGGTCACCGTCACCGCCAGAGTCAGGATTTGAAGGAGACTTCCATTCCACACACTGGCCTTTGTCACTATTGTGTCTACACACATTATTATGGGGTCCAAGCAGGAAGGTGCTTCAGAGACCATCTAGACCAGGGCTTCCTCATCTTTTTGGGGTCTTAGCCTCGTTTGGCTGTCTCCCTCAGTTTCTTCATCTGTAAAATGGGGACAATAATAAACCTACCTTCCAGGGCTGTTGTGATGAAAACCTAAGATAAACCTTGGGAAGCTCTTGGCAAACCTTAAAGTATGATAGCAGTGGGAACTACTGTTATTTCTGAGGCAAGGCTTCATCTCATCTTAAATACACAGTGTCTGTGTGAGAAGCTATTGAAGCTAATGTTACATTAACAAGCAATTAAAACATTGGGATGGGGGAGATGATGCCCCTGTATGGTTTACCACAATGGAAGCCCACACCCTGCTCCCCTTTGAGGACCCCTCCTGTCCCTGGATTTGCCTTACCAGGTTCTCTTAGCCTCTGAGACAGTGGCACCCCCTGTGCTTAGGGAGGCTTGGGGCTCTCAAGATCAGTGCCATTCAGGTGGAGGCAGGTGCAGGGAGGAGCCCCAGAGGCAAACACAAACGGAAAAGGGGATCTGTCCAGATCTGAAGTCATGTCCTAGCCATCTCTAGTCACCCTGAGTATCAGAGATGGTGATAGTGTCAAGGGTAATTGGCTGCCTGCTGCCCCAGAGCCAGGATGTGCCAGAACTTCTGGAAGTACTGTTACAGAGAGTAATGCCAGAGGGATGGGTGTTGCAAAGGAACCAGGAGTGGGGCAGGCCTAAGATGCAGGAGGTGAGTCCAGGAATGCTGGGGGCATGGCAGCAAAAAGCCCTTCAAGAAGAAAGGCTGAAGAAGGATGGCAAAGAGGAGTATAATAGGTGACCTAGACTGCCTGAGCTTTGGGAAAGCCTGACAAGAGGCCTTGGCCACTGGCTGGAAGGACCCCCATATGGTTCAGGGGCTTTTAAATGAGGAAGCAATTGGCAAACAGCACATGGATGAGAGCTTCATGGAGAGTAACCAGGACTTTGGCTGAGGACTCCAATGTTGTCATAGTCATGACACTGATGAAGAGGCAGGGGTTGGGGCCATAGTAGATAGGGAGCTGGGCCAGAAGACCTGACTTTGAATCCTGGCCTGGACTCTTAATTGCTGTGTGCCCCTGGGGCCTTCCTCACAGAATGGTTTGGAAACTTCTTTGTAGCCTATAAAGGGCTCATTCGTTGCTTTAACTGCAAACAGCCTGAGACCACACAAGGGCATTCACTAGACATGGCCCTTGTGTCTGTGCAGGCAGTCCCATGATGACAGCTTGAACAAGTAGCCCTGTGCCCAGGGGTGCCGTCCATGAGGGAGAAAATCCTCATTGTCCTGGGCTGTGGCAGGGCTGTCAAGTAACCTGACACCTGCTCTGAGAGCCATCGGATCAAAGCTAGAAGGGACCTTGGAGACAGGGGAGACCCATCTTACATGGGTTCATTTTACAGATGAGCAAACTGAGACCCATTAGCTGGGTTTGCAGCCCCAGTGCAGGCAAGATGCAAAGTCCCTTAACTCTATCTCTTTTTATTATATGTCCCAAGGAAGCACCATAACTAGGGTGGGATCACTAAGCCTTTGCCTCAGAGTACTGAGGGGTAAAACACTAGATCGGTGCTCACTTCCCTTCTGGGGAGTTTCTGCTCCTGCTGGTTGTATATCACATGAAGCAACCAGCCCATTCTTTTGTCTGGTCCCAGGCTTTCTCATAAGGCTTGTCTTACTCTGTAGTCAACTGCCACCCCAAATCCTCCAAAGGACTGAGGGTTGGGAATCATCAGCTTTATGGAGAATCCTGGAGCTTGACTGTCTAGGGGACAGAATAGACCACCCTCCCTTCCCTGAGGGGTCACACAGTGGATAGAGCACTGGGTCTGCAGTCAGAAAGACCTGACTCAAATCTGGCCTCACACACTTAGTAGCATGTGACCCTGGGAAAGTCACTCAACCATTATTTGCCTCAGTTTCCTCAGCTATAAAATTAGAGCTCACAGGGTTGTTGTAAGGATAAAATGAGATCACATCTATAAAGTGCTTGGCACAGTTCTTGGCACAAGGTAGGCACTATTCAAATGCTTATCCCCTCCCCTTGCCCCTGGAGCACACCAGGGGCTGACTCTTCTCCACCCTGATCCCTCCACCCCTCAACTGAGTACGACTCAGGCACCAGAATCCCTAGTTTTAGCCTGCCCCCAAGGTATTGACATCTGACATGATACCCAGAGAAAGGGCAGACCTTCTCATGAACACTGAGATCCTTTTGTAATATGGTTTCTGACATGTAGGCTGGTTCAAAAACAGGTGAAAGCACTCCATTTTGTAGGCAAGGAAACCGAGGCCCAAAGTGGATTAAAAACGTGCAAAGGTCATTTAGCAAACAAGGAGCAGTGCCTAGATTTGAACTCAGATCCAGAGCTCTTCCCATGGTGCCAAGCTTCCTCTCTATGCCAATTCTGAGAGAACATTAATTAAGTGTCAATGTCAACAGATAGGTAGGAAATGGTTTAAGCTCTATCAGACCTAACTTTATTTGACTAATTCCTAGAACTTTATAATTGCCAATGACCTGGGAGGTCATTTGGTCCAAGCTTCTTGTTACACATATGAAGAAACTGACACACAGAAAGATAAGGTCAAAGTCACATAGTAGGGCTCACATAGAACTAAAGCTCTTAAGAGACAGGATATAAGAAACATCTAGCATTCCCTCCCCCAACAGATAAGGTATTATTCCCATTTTAAGGGTGGGACAACTGAGATGCAAAGAAGTTAGATTAATTGTTCTGTGCCACCCAACTTAAAAATGACAGATTAAAAACAAGACCCCAGGGCTCCTTGTGAATGCCCTTTTTACCACACCATGCCCATCACTTTATCATATTCCCTCCTGTTTAGAAGAAGTAGGAACAAGTAGGTGCTGGCTGCCACTAGTTATACTTTTAAAGGAAGAATGATTTTTCTTCCCTTTCTCCAGCAGGCAGAAAACAACAAAAAACTCGGTCATAAATTGGCAGCTGCCAGTTTTGCGTGAGACCATAAATCTTGCTCAAGGGCAGTGTAGACGATCTGCTCAGAAATTCATGCAAGATTCACAGAGCCTGGGTCATTTTCAGCCTGGGCCATTTTCAGCCTCTATAGTCTTGTGGCCAAGGGACTGTAGATGTGGCCTCCAAGGAAATTAAATTAACTGAACTCCCTGATCTCATCAACACCCTATGCTTTGGCTCGGAGTTCAGCTAGAGGATTGGGAAGGCCTCTTAATTAGACACTTCAGCCAGGCTTTGGCACTGCTGAGACAACTCCTCCCTCAATCAGGTCCCTCTAGATTTCTGCTAACAAAGAAAGAAAAAATGAAATTCACTGGCTTGTGCTTCAGCCAGAGGGATGGAACACCAGTAGCTTCATCAGAATGCTGATCCTGACAGTATTTGGCCTTGAGCACAGAACTGACTCTGTCCTTCTGTTCCTTTTCAATCACATTCATTCATTCATTCATTCATTCATTCATTCATTCATGGAATGAATGAATTCTTGACCCCCTACCAAAACCATGAATTTTTCATAGAATCCTAGATGGTATCTGACAATGTGTGCAATATTTCACACCTATAACCCCTGACCTCCATGATGAAGGGAGGGGAAAATTAATTTTTAAATTAAATTTTACTTCTTAAATTAGCATGTAATTATTTTCCTTTCCTTTTTCTTCCCCATGGCAATGATTACTTATTAATGATCATAATAATAGCTAGCATTTGTATAGTGCTTTAAAGTTTTCAAAGTGCTCTTACATAACTTATCTCATTTGCTATCTGCAACAACCCTGTAAGGTAGGTGCTATTTTTTAATACCCATTTTACAGATGCAGAAACCAAGGCAGAGAGGTTAATTGACATGCCCAGGCTCATATGGCTAGTAAGTTAACAAGAAGTCACTGAACATTTATTAAATGTTTGCTATGTGCCAGGCACTGGGCTGAGTGCTGAGGATAGAAATACAATCAAAAAGAAAGATGGTCCCTGCTCATAAAGAGCTTACGTTCAAATGGAAGACAACTCATGAAAGCGAGCTGAAAAGATGGGTGGAGGAAGGGGGGAAGATATCTGCACATGAAAATATGGTGGAGAAAGAAGAATAGAGTGACTAGAGCAGCACCAGAGAGGAGGGAAGGAGGAACACATTTGGAATGGGCACTTTCCTTAAAAGGAGGCTCCAAGGAGAGCCGACAGTCAGAAGAAGGAGCCATGGAGATGATCTTCCAGCATGAGAACGTGGCTGCTTGGGCATGAGTGGTGAAAGAAGGGAGCAGTGCCCCCAAATACCTTGGAAGTGCTTGAAGCAGAATTCAAATTCATCTTCCTGACCCCTGGTCCAATACTAGGACCTCACTGACTAAAGGCAAGGCTTGATATGAATAGCCTCATTAGCAGATTCATTTACCCTACAGTTTGGGAAGATGGCTTTGAAGGTGCTAATGCCCACACCAGTTTTATTCA